AGATTGTTTCAAGCCATAAAGTGACTTCTTAAGCCTGCATTACCTTTCCCTTTTCAACATCACTGTAGAAGCCGGTAGGAAGATCCATATACACTTCCTCTTGCAGATTCCCATTTAGGAAAGCATTCTTCACATCAAGTTAAAACAGTGGCCAAGAGTATGTGGCAGCAAGAGAAAGAAGTATCCGAATAGAGGTCATCTTTGCAACTGGTGCAAAGGTCTCTAAGTAGTCAATGCCATAGGTCTGTGTGTACCCTTTTGCAACAAGTCTGGCCTTGTACTTTTCTATACTTCCATCTGCCTTATATTTTACTGTGTAAACCCATCTGCATCCAACAGTCTCCTTGCCCTCTGGTAGGTCCACAATCTCCCATGTCTGATTCTTACTTAGAGCTTCCATCTCTTCCTACATAGCTGTCTTCCACTCAGGTTTGGAGAGAGCCTCACTGACACCCTTGGGTATAGACATAGAGTCAAGAGAGGAAAGAAAAGCATGATAGGAAGGAGAAAGTCCACTGTAGGATAAATACTATGAAATACAATGAGCAGTACACTTTCTCTTCCCTTTTCTGAGGGCAATAGGAAGGTCCAGGTTATCTGTAACGGGATTAGTAGAATCAATGGGAACTGAAACAGTAGAGGGATCAAGAGGAATACCTGAATCCGTGTCAACTGAATCTGGAGTGTCCAAGGAACTGACAAGAAGTGATGTGAGTTATGTTGCAGTGGAATCAACCTCTCTGTGAAGTCTCTATCGTAAGTAACGCTGAGAAGCAGGATGCAAGGGAGGTGGTAAGGTAGGAGACACAGGAGGATCACGCATAGGAGTGGACATAGGGACTGGAACTGGGAGAGGGATAGACTTCTCACTCACTTCCCCAAAACACTCCTCCTGAGAAGGATTCTTCGAGAAGAAGTATGTGGACTCAAAATAGTGACATCCATAGTAACATACCGACTCCCAGAGACTGGATCATAGCAGTAGTATCCTTTCTGATTTTCTGCATATCCAAGGGAGACACACTTCTTTGCCTTCGGGTCAAGCTTCAAGCGGTGAGGACCAAGGATATGTGCAAAGCAGACACACCAAAACACCCTGAGAGGAATATGAAACATCTCCCCTTCAGGAAAAAGGAGACTGAATGGGGTGCTGAATCCAAGTATACGAGAAGGCACCCTGTTAATCAAATATATTGCTGTGAGAACTGCATCACCCCAAAACCGAATTGAAACTGTAGATGTGATCATATGCTTCTTGCAATCTCAACAATGTGTCTATTCTTCCTTTCTACAACACCATTCTGCTGTGGAGTGTAGGAACAACTGCTCTGATGGACAACACCATATTCTAACAGATATGAAGCAAGGTGTTTTTCAAAATATTCTCTGGCATTGTCTGATCTGAACACCTTTATTTGTTTTCCAAACTGTGTTAGTACCATCTGATGAAATTGCCTTACCAAGGATGGTACCTCATCTCGGGATCTCATCAAGTAAACCCAAGAATATCGAGAGAAATCATCCACAAATAAGAGAAAATATCAATAACCACCCATAGAAGGAACATGATAAGGTCCTCACACATCAGAATGAATAACATCAAAAGAAGAAGAACACCTTTTATTACTAGCTTTAAAGGAATGTCTACAATGCTTTCCAAGTTGACAACCTTCACACTCCAAACTTGACAAACTAATAGACTCAAATAGCTTTGGAAACAAAAGCCTCAAAGAAGAAAAAGGCAAATGACCCAAAGGATTATGCCAAAGCATAATCTGACCCACAGACCCTGACTCACTATCCCTGTTGACATGATGACTCTGATGAGGAGGAAGGACATCCAGGAGGTAGATTCCATTCACTTTACGACCACTCTCAATAGTCCTCTTTGAATCCAGATCCTACAAGATACAATGACCAGGAGAAAAAATTACTGAACAGTTCAGGTTCCTAATCAAATTACTAACAGATAACAAATTAGTGCTCAATCTGGAAACATGAAGGACAGAGGGAAGGGRAATGGAATCACTAATCTTGACAGACCCCTTCCCAGCAATGGAAACACGAGATCCATTAGCTGTAGAGACCCTGTCTCTGCTAGAACAAAGCTGGTAAGAGGAAAAAAATAGTGGAGCTATGGGTCATGTGCTCTGAGGCTCCAGAATCTATAATCCAAGGAGGTTCCTCCTTACCTGAAGTAGAAACATAATTTGCAGTGGCATGTGAACTACCTATGTGAGCAAAGGAAGTAGAGTGAACTCCACTAGAACCACCTGTACCTTGCTGTCCGCCTATTGCTGAATTAGAGCTGGCTGTATCCCACTGGTTCAGAAACTGCCTATACCTCTCAAGTTTGGCCCTTACTGTAGCAGCTGCAACAGACTCCAGAGCAGCTGTAGTAGGAGGGGCCGGAATGTCACCAGTGACTGTCATGTGAGCATTTCCCTTCTTATTTTTGAGTATATTCGGCATGATGTGGATGAAGCTTCCAACAAGTATCTCTTGTGTGTTTAGGCTTCTTACAATAGTCACAGATAAAATCTTTTTTGTCTTCCTTCTTGATCTCACTGCCACCCCGGTCTCCACCTTGTTTAGGTCTCACAGTACTAACCATGGCTGACTGATCAAACCTAGAATTTTTCATCATCACATTTCTCCTGCTCTCCTCCCTTGACACAAACCCATAATTTTTTTCTAGTAGGCAGTTGCATCCTTAGTGGTTTCCCAAGCAAATGTYTCTAAATGGTCAATCTTCTGCCACAAGGTTTTAAGGGCTGAAAAGTAAACTGCAATAGGTCTATCTCCCTGCCTTGTAGCAATAATCTGATTTCTCAATTAATAAGTCCTAGCAACATTCTCCCTCTGTGAATAGGTTTCTGCAACCCCATCCCATATTTCCTTAGCTGTATTTGCCCATAAAAAGTTTTTACTTATATGGGGCAACATGGAATTACACAGCCAAGTCATCACCATATAATTCTCCTGTACCCACTGGGAGTTGTTAGTTTCGGGTTTCACTTCTTCACCAATGATATACCCTAACTTCCCACAAGCACCAATGGCCATCTTTGTAGATTGTGACCATTCTAAGTAATTCGAACCATCCAACTTAACTATAGTAATGGTCCCAGCCCCGAAAAGGTCTCCAACACCTCCTTCCACTGGTTTCATTTTACTCCCGGGCTTGTTTTCAACTCCGTGACCCTCCATACTTCTCAAAAGATGCAAAGAAAATTACTGCAATATGCAAGAAGATCAAATGAAACACTTTTGGAACCAATGACACCTTTCTGGTGCCCTAGATGGTCCTCCCACAAAAGATTCCTTTTCTACAGGACGGGAGAAGAGAGCGAAGAGGCAGCCGCTCTCTCCAGAAACCTCCAAATCAGGCAGGACTTGAACCGCTCCCTACAGAAAACTCCAAGGAACCCTAAAAAATTAGGGCGCCACTTCCTAGGTTAAAATTGAAGAGTCCAACAGAAACGGGACTCTCCCCCTTTCTCCAGTTTTTCCTGATTTTGATGAGAAATCCTAGACTAGCTACAGGGCAAAACAGATTCACCAAAAATCCAAAAATTGGGCTTACCTGAGATCTTTGATCCAACCTCTTAAATCACCATGCAGTCGGCCAATCTAGGGCTGCATGAGAAAACAGCTCAAGGAACCTTCGACCTTGCTCTGATACCAAGTAGAAATCACTGTTTGTAAATCAGGATGAATTCCTTGTGAAGAGAAAGAAGAAGATGAAGAGTTTCAGCAGTAGAGAAGAAAAGAGAGGAAAGAAAGAGTGGGATGATAATCAGAATTGAATTAGTTCTGGCCGCCAACCCCTCATTATATTTTATACTTAACTTAAAAGAATGAAAGATTACAAGAATGCCCTTAGTAGGGCGGCTACTAAAGTAGCTGAAGAGTCACAACTTAAAAAGCATAAACTAATGGGTCTAAAGCCCAACAACTTCCTAACTTAACAACTTAAAGTAAGAACAAAACAACTGGTCCCAATAACTAGAAATCGGCCCAACTCAACAAAGTTCACATAAAATCTTCTCACTTAAAGATGTCAATGTTTTCAATGGAAAATCTGAATTTTGCACCATATGTGGTTATCCTAAAAACTGAACCTATTGATGATACCTATGGTGTTTGAAGTTGTTTCTTCCTATATGTCAGGCATCAACATTACACACAATCCAATCCAACATGACTGCAGAAAGCATATAAAAGTTGATCAGTATATCAGCAAGGACAAAGTTGAAGCTCATGGGATATAATTGCATTTTGTAATCACTAACAGTCATTTAATTGATTTATTAATGAAAGTAATTGTAAGACCAAAGTTGTATGAAATTTTACTGAGGAAATAAACACATAGTGGGTGTGAGGTCGATATTGTAATTTTACTAATTTTTATATTAAGGAGATAATAAAGGGATTGAGCAGGCTGATTAAGGATAATACTCCTTTGCCAAAAACTCTCCTTCAATATAGCACTCTATTGATCATTTTAGATTTGTAAGTCTGGACTTAGAGAAAGAAATAGGACAGTTAGGTGTGGAACTAGTAGACACTCCTATTGATTCAAGCCATAATTTGTGTGCAGATCAAGGTGAAGTTCCTCCTGATAGAGGAGTGTTCCAAAGATTAGTTGGAAGGCTCCTCTACTTGTGTTTGATAAGACCTGATGTTGTCTAGTTATGAGTGTGATTAGTTGGTACATGTACTAGCCTAGAAAGCCACATAAGGAAGTAACAAAGAGTGTTTTGAGCTCCTTCAAAGGAGCCCCCAGGAAAGGAACTCTATGTGCCAACATGGATAATACCATTTTTAAAACCATACTGTTAATGACAATCTCTTGCAGTTACTTTCATTAGAGACATTCCAGTTTCTTGTCATGAATTGCAGGAAGATTGTTCCATAAAATGATGATATTAGTTAGATTTAATTGGTATATTTTCCATTGATTGGCACTACTTAAATGTTGAGGTTTATCGTTTCAGAAGAAGCTTCGAACATGGTGTCAATTTCCAAATGGTGATTGGGCACTGGGGAAGATATTATCAACTTCTGGAGCTGAGACTGTTATTTCACTTCCTGATGGAAAAGTAAGCAGCAATACTTAATTTTTGTAAATATTTTATTTACTTGTAAAAACAAATTCTATAAAGTTTGCACTAATGTACTATTTACCATATCCATCCATCTCATTTTTATTTCTCCACAGGTTTTGAAGGTGAATGTAGAAAGTCTATTACCTGCAAATCCTGATATACTTGATGGTGTAGATGATCTGATGCAGCTTAGCTATTTAAATGAGCCATCTGTATTGTACAATCTTCAATTTAGATATGCTCAAGATATGATCTATGTGAGTATTTGTTTCTAATTTATGATTATCTCTTAATTTTCTGCTAACTGTATCACCTCTCTAAAATGTTTGTGGGATCATATCTATGTTTACTGTAGACAAAAGCGGGACCAGTATTGGTTGCTATCAATCCTTTTAAAGAAGTTCCATTATATGGAAATGATTATATTGAAGCATATAGGCGTAAATCCGTGGAGAGTCCACATGTGTATGCAATTGCAGATACTGCCATTAGGGAAATGATACGAGGTATTTTAACTTATTACTGGTATTGATCTTTCAGTACATACATTGCTAGGATTTATTTCATTATCATTTTTCTCCTGTCCAAAATCACACATGAAAGGGCAGAGAGGTTCTGTCATATATGCCTATCAATTTACTTATTTTATTGACTTTGGAGTCTGTTCCCTTGAATTTCTTATGACTTATGATGCTTGTTGTCACCTTTTTCTTGTGCAGATGAAGTAAATCAATCTATCATTATAAGGTTGGTAGAAATCTCATTTTTCCATGTTGTTTTCAGTTTTCTATTTTAATTTTGAAAGTATTTGATAAAGAAATGCATGATAATAGTATCTATTTTACCAAGGTTTAAAATGCCAATGTGGGTGGAAATGCCGGTCATCCAAATATAAGAAACCATGTTGGAAATATCGTATGGAAAAATTGTAAAAATCATAGTCATGGTGGAAAAAAAACATTGTAAAATATGCAAAATATAGAATGATATTTTATGAAATGACAAAAGAAGCATAGGCACACCTTTTTAAATTATTATCTTGTTCCAAATCATTAAATAAAGCTAAGAAAAAGGTTATAGACAAAAGAATACGTTTTGAAGTTGCCGTATAAACCTTAAGATTCAGAACTTCATGATAGAGTGAGTTAAAGCAAAATTTTTAACTCAGAGAAAATGTAAATGGTTGTAATAGACAACCAAATAATCTATTACACAAACGAAAAACTAATATTCAATTTCATGTTTGAAATGAATATTGAGCTAGCTCAAAGTAGTCATCATGTAAGTTAGGTGGACAATAACATTGTTACTTCACATATCTACAATATCGTCACTAACTTATGTTATAATACTATCTCTTGGACTCCACATAGTGCTGGTATTGTTCACTAGGGAATATGTTGATTCTAGTAAATACTAAAATTTCATGTTGCTACCCATGGAAGTAGAAATGGAAATATGTCGTGGAAGCTATCTCTTGTACTCCATAGTACTGGTAGTGTTCATTGGGGAATATGTCGATTCCTGTGAAATTTTGTATCACTACCCATGAAAATGGAAATATGCCATGGAAATATTAGGGAAATTAGGGACATTTTAAACAATGTGTGCATCTATCCCTTGCCAGACCCCCCATTGGTGGGAGCCTCGTGGACTGAGCTGCCCTTTAAATGGTTATAGATTTATTAGGCTATTTCTTTGTCTGTTTTATCACATTGATCTGTGTGATTTGATAATAATAATGCTATGCCATCCATTTCTCCAGTGGTGAAAGTGGAGCAGGGAAAACTGAAACAGCAAAGATAGCTATGCAATATTTAGCTGCACTTGGAGGAGGTAGTGGAATAGAAAACGAAGTATTGAAGACTAATCCTATATTGGAAGCCTTTGGTAATGCAAAAACATCAAGAAATGACAACTCAAGTCGTTTTGTAAGCTATCTATTCCTTTCAATTGAGTCAAAAGTTTGCTTTGTATCGACTTGTTTTGTTCAAGGCTACATCGAATGTTTGTTCTTTGGTCTCTTGGTCTATAAATACCTATATTTTGACTTTTGACTGAATGGTGCAGGGGAAGTTGATTGAAATTCACTTTAGTGAAACTGGGAAAATTTCTGGTGCCAAAATTCAGACTTGTAAGATCACTTGTTTCCAGCTCGAGTTGACAATGTTTCCTTTATTCTTTCTATTGAAAATGATATTGACCTTTAGTTTCATGTTTGTTCTACTCCTGCCTAATTGGTCGTTTTCCATGCAGTTTTACTTGAAAAGGTATTTCCTCTTGCAAATTGTTRTATCAATAATGTGTTGTCTAATGTTTTTGTATCTTCATTAATTCAATTACATGTGTTTTGAGCAGTCAAGAGTGGTTCAGTGTGCAGAGGGAGAAAGATCATATCATATATTTTATCAGCTTTGTGCTGGAGCTCCTCAAGCACTTAGAGGTATCCTATCAAAATCTTATGGTTTTTGATATGATTCATGAAATCGTGAATTCCACGAGTTTCAACTTGATTCTTATGTCTGAATCCTTTTCTTTAAAAATCTTACTATTATTTTTGAATAATCATCATCATCCATGCCTTATCCCAACTATATGATGTCAGCTACGCTAATCTTGTTTCGCCAATCTGTTCTGTTTAATTCCCTATCTGTAGTTAAATTATTGCTGCTTAAATCATTTCTTACTACTTCTACCCATGACCTTTTTGGTCTATCCCTTGCTGTTCTAGTCCCTTCAACTTGTAAGAAATCAGTTCTTACGTGATTTTTCTTTGAATCCATCTTACAGTTTATATGGTGTGTGTGATTCAAATGAATTCAGTTAAGAATTAGTTCTCTACTTTGTCATTTTTTGTTTCTATTTAGTTTTGTCAAGGGAAACGTTTTTTTAAAGCCCTTATCTGGAAAATGATTTTATTTTCCAAAAAACAAAAAAAAAACTAGAAAATGATTTATTTAGATTATTTAGCACTCTTTAGAAACAATATCGAGTTCATCATATGTAGGTTAAAGAGTTGTAAAATCTCTTTTTCTTAGACGTCTAGTGTAAAAGTGGTAAACTCTCTTTTTTTTGGTACATAGATAGTGGATATGAACTAAAAGTAGGAAAGATCACTTTTAACTTTCAAAAAAAGGATCACTTTTCTATATAATAATATAATAATATAATAATATCTATTTTTATTTTTTTGACAAGTTTGTAAAAAACAGAAATAACAATGTATGATATGATCTATTATTTCATTATTTGATTTGATTAAACTTTACAATTTAGGGTTAATTACTTAAAGTACTCCTGAACTATCTGACAAATACTTAACAACCCCTGGAATTTAAAAACCTACTTAAAGTGCCCTTATAGAATGATGTAATATGATACATACTACTCCTCCATTAATTATTTGTCAGATTCCATTTACATGTGACACATTTAATTTTTCAAAAACCCAAATTTCCCTCACCAGACCAGTCCCCACTGACCTTACCTCTATCAATAACAAACCGAATTTGTTCTTGCATTTAATAGACTGCCAATTTGGGTCAGATATGGTTGGAAAGGCACAAAGGTCTATGTTACCAGCTCCAATGACAGCACTAGGCATTCACCACCATTAGGCTGAGGCAACTTCCCGTTGACACTTGCAGCGGTTGAGCTCAGTCCGTCCAATCATCCTAACTCAATTGTGTAGACAGTCCCCCAGGCTGATGTGTTCCAATTCAACCAATGAAATCAAGTTTAAGGAACACATAGCTTTGCCCTTTTCTTCTCTAAACTGCTCTTCTGAAACTAGACTCCCTTATTATTTTAGAATAAGAGAAATCACTTATCAGTGGTATATTCATTGAATATTGCAGAGGAGGTTATGTTCACCAGACACACGCAGTGGAGATTCATGGGGCGGTGGTAGTATTGTTTATGGACATTACTATGTAACAGATACTCCTGGTGTTGGTTGTCCCATTTTCCGGAGGCAGATGTTGACTAATCTGCAGTTTGTTGAATCCCAAACAACCAAGGAGAGAGAGGATATGTGAAGGGAGTGGTGACTTACATTCTCAGTTCAGGATTTGGTTTAGTTGCATGTTGTTGGTTAATTGCATTTTCTATCTTCCTCCTTTGGTTATTCTTTGTGTGATTTTCCTGTTTATTTTTTGTGTTCCCATTGATCTCAACTACTTGTATTAGATAAAGGGGGAGTTTTCAAATTGGAATGAACTGAATGGAGGGGGAATAGAAATAGAAATGGTTGGATTTGAGTGAAGATCCCATCTCATTCTATCTCATTTTCAAGTCTCTGGAGCCCAGATCCAAGATTCAAGTCCTAGTTATCTTAGGCTTGAGTAATCAAAAGTATGAATTCACCGCATTACGTACTTTAATGACTTCCAGAACTTTGAATGGAATGAGATAAAAGAGAAAAAGTACAAGTGAAAGCAGAAGACATATGGACCGTCAACCTATGTAGATACAATGAGACAATTAAGAAAGAAATGAATAAATTCAAAAGAAATAGAGCATGGTGCAAAATAATAAATGGGATAAAACAAAAAGTAGCAAAGAAAGAGATAACCACAGAGATAGATAGAATCAGAGAATCTTCAAATAACATGATTAAAAAAAGAATTGTCAGTATTGACCAATAGGCTTACAGGGACCTAGCTGCAGCACAATGCTAAAGAAAAGTGTTAATGGCTAGTTAGGTTATTGGTGGAAAGCGCTCCATTGCTATCAACAGAGGTGGGGAGGAGACCAATGGCAGGCAATGTAAGAGAGTGATCGGGCAATGACTAATAGGGGGATTCGATGAGAATGGTGGTACTCTGTTCTTAGATGCAGAAAGCAAAGTCAGAAGTGAATGTAGAAGGTGGGATGAGAAAGAAGAAGAAGACAGAGGAAGAGGATCTAGTGCAGGCCGTCCTTTGATTCTTCTCTCTTCATTGCAATTGGTTGGGAATGTGGATTCTGGTGTGGTATATTTTGAAAACTTGAAGAGAAGGCAAAAAGAGTTGTTCTTACATATTTTGAAAATTGAAGAATAATTATGGACAATATAGTCTTTTTGTCTAATTTAATGGCAAGACATAACGGAAAGTGAATTTCCAAAAGTTCAGGGGTTCAGGGGTATTTTAAGTAGGTTTTTAAATTCCAGGTGTCTTTAAGTATTTGTCAGATAGTCCGGGTGTACTTTAAGTAATTACCCATACAATTTATGATACATTATGATTTGAAGAACATTTTGTATGTATTGTATACTGTTGGAAGCACTCTATGCTGTATTTTATTTCTTTGTATTGCTTCACTTTGAAAGGAATCTAAAATACTCTGAACTGTTCTTTCAAATTGTCGAAGGAAATAATACATTTTTTATGTCACACTTCCTAGGTTTCCATTTTTCAAGATAACATTCTGGTGCTGGTAGGATGTCTCTCCTGCAAAAGTGCAAATATAACTTGGACCAACTATGACTAAATCAAGTTTTGGGGAAACCCTGGTTATATGTTTGACTGAGCCAACTCTGATGTGTGATGTGTCTCCATATTCTACCTTTGTGAAGAAAACAATGATAATAAAGTAAAGCATAAATAGTCATAACTCCTACATCTATAAATAATGCCGACTGAAGTAGGCTTATGTTAATGATGGCACAAGTGATGTGAAGGTTTCATGATACAGTACTAGTTGGCTTTAGGTCTATATCCATAAGGCAAACATAGTGTCCACATTCCCCCACAACTATAGTAGTTTCCCTCTATGCAAGCCTATGGACTCTTGGTCCATATGCAAACCTACTCTCCAGACCTAAAGCAGAGGAGACACTAAAGGGAGAATATTTGTAGGCAAGTTCCAAAGGGATATGATTAAGAATATTTTTGGTTTGTACAGAGGCAATTTAACTTTCTATTTGGCCTCTTTAATATCACTATTCTATAAAATTTAATGGATTGTTGGATATCTCAGAAATTTTGAAACTCTCATCCAGTAAGATTCTATTTATATGTCACTAATTACATTAACATTCTTTTGCATATTCTTTTTCACTCTCTACTGCAGAAAAATTGCATTTGAAGAAGGCAAGTGAATATAAATATTTGAAACAAAGCAATTGTTTTTCTATTCCTGGGGTTGATGATGCTGAACGTTTTCGCATTGTTATGGTACTTTGACTTATAACCTGCATCTTCTAACTTCTAAAATCAGCAATTTTTGTTTAATTCTTGTGTGCTGTTGTCTTGATAACATTAATGTCACTCTTTCCAGGAAGCTCTCTATATTGTTCACATTAGCAAAGAGGATCAAAATAGTGTATTTGCAATGCTTGCTGCTGTCTTGTGGTTGGGTAATATCTCCTTTACTGTAATTGACAATGAAAACCATGTTGAAGCAGTGGTTGACGAAGGTAAGAAGTTTCTGGAAGCTAGTTCAGGCAAAGTTCCAATGTCAAAAGTTACAATAAATTGTACTGGTATATATATGCATAATGGGATGTAACTTTATTAGAGTTAAGTATGATTGCAAATATATGGGATTGATGGTTCAAGAACTATTCTCTCTCCAAACCTGTGCACACTTACCTTCTCTTTTTTTCTCTTCTTTCTTCTTTTTTCCCTCTATGGATTGACCCTTTCAGTATAGTTGGTATAAAAGCAGAATTTGTTACTTGTCAAGATTTAAGAGATAGAGAGAAGAGTAGAAGAGAGAGTTGCATCATTATCATCATCTAACCCTTGCCCCAACTATACGGGGTTGGCTACATGAATTCTATTTTGCCATTACATTCCGTTCAGTTAACAAATGTAGCCAACCCCATTTGTTACTTGTCAAGATTTAAGAGATAGAGAGAAGAGTAGAAGAGAGAGTTGCATCATTATCATGATCTAACCCTTGCCCCAACTATATGGGGTTAGCTACATGAATTCTATTTTTCCATTACATTCCGTTCAGTGGCATATCCATTGTTAAATTATAGTAGCTCAAGTCATTTCTTATTACTTCCACCCAAGTCCTTTTTGGTCTGCCCCTAGTTCTTCTAGCCCTTTCAACTTGTAACAGATCACTTTTTCTAATAGGTTCTGTAGATGGTATTCTCTGCACATGACCAAACTATCTCAATATTCTCTCTCATTTTATTACCTATTGGAGCTATTCCTAGGTTCCTTTGTATGACTTCACTTCTAATCCTGTCTTTTCTAGTTTTACCACACATCCATCTAAGCATTCAAAGAGAGCCATAACATAATGAGAGAAAACTTATGTATATGATAAAATCACTCACTATGCCTTTTATTAGGAAATTTTAGAACCAGTAACAATGACCAAACTAGCCCTGCATCCCAAACAATCCATATTCACAACAGGATATAGGTTCTTTTTATCTGCTGTTTTCTGCAATCTTTGCACCGTACTGGAATCAGCAGCCTGTAGGGATAGAGATAACATCACTAGGGATACATTCAGCCTCTGCTCAACTTGAAGCAAAAAGCATTCTGGTAGAGTAGGATTTATGGTCTTTGCTTTTCATGCAGAACCAAATCATTGATCAAGTTTTTTTTTTCCCTTTTTTTTGGATTTTATGGTTTATAGTTTGAAAGAAAACAAATATTTACTGCCTAATCCATGCTATATTACACAGATACATCAAAGACATAGTGAGACATGGTATTGGATGAAATTTACACTAAAATTTGAAATTTCTCACATTATTTGTCAACCTTGTGTTTGTTATCAGGGTATCATAGTTTCCATGTTGTTCTTTCTCTCCTTTTTTGATCTAGTCCACTTTGGTCATGTTTTAGAGGAGACAAAGTAGATGAACTAGGAGAAATTTCAGGTGGTAAGATTTCTAGTGAAGTTAGGATCTATTTGATTTGTTTTGTGGTTCAGGAGGTCTGTGATACGTTTTAAGGACTAGCATGTCTTTTCCACTTCAGTTGCTGTATCAGTTTAGTCACCTGAGTAGATTTCTAGTGGTGGAAATGTGTATCCTAACAAGGACACAAGGTCAGCTAGTGCTTTGTTAGGTTAGGATTAGGAATTTCAGGAATTGAATAACAAGGAGCACCCTAGGTAATAAACTGAATTTAAAAATTATTACTGTTAGGTTGGGTGGTACAAATTTCTTGAATATAACAATATATCATGAAATTGTGAATGTAGGAAGTTTGGAAATCTAACTGGAAGAGTGCATGTTTCATATTTCTGATACCAATGGACATTTCACCGTGTAGAGATGGGGAAATTTCAGAGATATTTCGCTAACTTGCTAAGATATTTGGAAAATCTAAAAGTTAGGGAAGTTTTTTAGAAACATGGAATCAGTTAATAAACCTTTAGGGAATTGTTAGAAGTATAATTGCTCAATTAAGGCTCAAAAAACCACATCAAAGAACTGTATAAATGAAATAGGAGAAAGTTAAGAGACATTAATAGGCATTTTTATCTTTGTCTCCTTTTTAGTCTTTTAGCCATCTTCTCTTCATTAAGTATTTCATTTACTTCCCACTTTGATATTTGTTTTTTTTTTTGTTATTATATGTTTTGATTAGATTAAGAATCCTCTTTTGTAATTACATGCATTTTTCTTTCTTTTGAATTATATTGACTTGGTAAGTGAATCATATAAAAATAATAAGCCAATTATCCTATCAGCAATTCCTCCATTGGTTCTTTTAGGAAAAGATTTTAARCAAATTATACTGATTTAAGGGGAATATCAGAAAAGCTTTTATAATATTCTAAAAATTTAAACCTTAATATATTATCAATAAAATTTGGAATATCGTCAACATATTGGTAAAATATCAGAGATATTAGGAAAGAAATGATTCCTGGAAAATTGCATATTGCGCGACCTAGCAAAATGGAGAGATTTCGGGGAAATTTCACTGCATATCACACATCTTACGAACTATGGAAGCATGCAAGCTCACACAACTAAGGATTAGGATCCTACTATGACAAAAAGGAACGAAAGTATTCTTAGCAAGTTAGCATTATGTTGTGGTTTCTTTATTCTATGCATCTACAATCAGCTAAGGTTTGTGATTCCTTGATATTAGCACATTCATTGTTCCTCAAATTTTGTATGGAGTTATGGATACATTCTTAGCAAAAATTATTACAAGAATATACCACCTTTGACAAGATATTTCAGATTTTCCCCACTGGGACAAAATCTTAGCATCTTATTTCTCTACTCTTTAAGAGATATGGAAAGATCTGGATCATTATCAAGCATGGTTTTCAAAACCGGACTGGACTGGATGGTTGGACCGGAAAAACTGGGAACCAGTTAGGTGACCGGTTTCGTTTTTCCCAAAAAACTGTTGATTTTGGTCAGCAAATCGCTGACCCGAGCGTTTAACCGTTCGAATGGTTTTGACCGTTTTTTGTTTTTTTGTCAGAATGGGCCGACCATTTGGTTCGAACGATCGGACCGTTCGACTTGGGAACCGGACCCCTGACCGGTTCGTTCTCTGGGTCGGTTTTAAAAACCTTGTTATCAAGTTATAATTTAGAAATATATTGAGGATGCTGAATTATATTCTAATCTCAATGAACAATATCATGTCATGCGTATAAACCCATTTCAAATATGAAGGGCCTGAATGTACCTAATAGTAGTGATAACAAAGTATCTAGCATAGTAGCATGGCTTGCTTGATTTTGAAAATTGAGTATCATTGTTACATAGGCACCATATTTTGAGTACTTGCTGAATTAGAATAACTAAGAAAATGATTTTGCTTTTAACATGCACCATATGTTATTGGTATTTTGTTGTTGCTCATTTGGAGTTCMAAATGATGGAAAAATTTTATTTTCAGGTCTAAATGTTGTTGCCAAATTAATTGGATGCAATGTGGGGGAATTAAAGTTAGCTTTATCAACTCGCAAAATGAGAGTTGGCAATGATAATATTGTCCAAAAGCTTACACTATCTCAGGTAACAAGAATTCTATGGAGAAGGTCTATTTGATCTGTCTTGCACAAAGTGGTCTAGCAATGGAAGAAGTAAGCATGAACTGTGCCAAGGGACTAGTTCCTCCAGTCAAATGGTTCCTTAATAGGAAACTGTTTGCTATATACGTGATCATGCATTCTAAGAATTCCTGATCTTGAATGCACATCATTTTTTAATCTTGACCTTAAAAATATGTGATAAAGTGGTTGGTAGGACCAACCAATCAGGCTTAAAACTTGGAGGAGACCATCTAAAAGGGTCTCACCCTTGTGCATAAGCATCACAAGTACCACTTTATGCATCGATGGATTCTTGCAAGTGTCTGTATACTTTTTTCTTATATAGTAGGTATAAATTTCTCTAACTAGTTCCTATTTTTTAGGCAATTGACACCAGAGATGCATTGGCTAAATCACTCTATGCTTGTTTGTTTGACTGGCTGGTTGAACGAATAAACACATCATTAGAAGTAAGCAAGCGGCGTACAGGAAGATTCATCAGCATTCTTGATATTTATGGCTTTGAATCATTTGATGTGAGTTCATGTATTTTTTATGTTGATTATTTTTTAATGTATAAAGGTATTTATTCAAAGTATGATTTTCTTTTACCCTTTCTTTTTTCTTGCAGAAAAATAGTTTTGAGCAGTTTTGCATAAATTATGCCAATGAAAGATTGCAACAACACTTTAACCGCCATTTATTCAAGTTAGAGCAGGAGGTAAGCAGTATGGTTCTTTGTTTTATATTGACTGGTGAATGGTGATCTGCATCTAATCACGAAGTTTGTTGTTTTTTAAGTAGAGATATACTTCAAAGAGTTCCTACAGAAGAAAAAATACCAGTACTCATTACACTGGAGTGGTTTGATCTTTATAAAAGCTACAATGTTTTTACTCCAAAAGATGCTTTCTCATGTTACAGAACAACAGTGGCAATGGTAGGGCATATATGGTTAAATTATGAATGCTAATCTAAATTTTTCTTTCAGGAATACATCCAAGATGGCATTGACTGGGCAAAGGTTGAATTTGAAGACAACCAAGATTGTCTAAATCTTTTTGAGAAGGTGAGTAGCTAATTAATGATTACTTGTATAGAAATAATGCCATTGATTGGTCTAATAAGTGTATTGATGGATTCTTTTATTATAATAGGACTATGTAGTACTTAGTGAGGAGTGAATATGAGCTTTTCTTCAAGTTTGTGAGAAAGAAAAGTAGTATCATTCCATTATCCATAGTGTCTCCATGTACCTGTTTACAGACACATCACAGCAGATATGTGGCTGACTGCATTCTTTTGTTAAGAACTGTGTTTTCAGTTGTTACAGAGTGTTTCTAGATCTTCTCTGCTACCTACAAATATCAGAAAGTGTGATTTATCACACCAATACCGTATGTGAATTTATAGCCGTCCACAAATTTTTGTAGCTATTGAAATTTCTAATTTGACCTACTGGTTTTGAATAGAAAGACATGGTTATTTGGGTAGAGATATGTTACAAGAATACTGAGATAAAGGAGGACATGAAGATGGTAAATAACAGAATTAAGGACTCCATTGATACTATCTAATGAAGATTTTATAGTAAAGTAAGATAGAAGGAGAAACTAAAGAATTAATACGAGGAGGAAAACAGTTARACAACCAAGGCTGGACAAATTACAAAATTACAACAGAAATAGATGAGTTTGCATGGTAGTCACTAATAAGTAAATGAATATGATGAGTTTGCATTGTATCTTTATTTTATCATTACTTCATGTCATCTATTTACCCATGGGGAAAGGGGTAAGCAATGAACTTGGATTGAAGAGAGAGTAAGTTTATAAGATCATACATTTTGTTTGTGATAATTCTTGTCATTTCATTTGAAGTTTTTCTATTGAATACCTGGATATTTCTAGTTCAGTGTTGTAATATTTCCCCTCCTTGAATTTTTATGCAGAAACCATTGGGATTACTGTCTCTATTGGATGAGGAATCAACTTTTCCAAATGGAACGGACTTGACATTTGCCAACAAGCTTAAGCAGCACCTGAATTCTAATTCCTGTTTCAGAGGAGAAAGAGACAAAGCTTTCACTGTCATTCATTATGCGGGGGAGGTTGTCATCTTATCTATAACTGACCCTGTTTTCATTTTTTTTTTGTGAGGAAATCTAAGGTACATATCAGATAGACAATGAGAACTGTTACATATTACAACGAATGTAGCAGAACACCTAATGAAGTAGCAATGAATTGCATTGGGTTGAATATAGTAGAGATCTTGCTGACTCAAAAAATCTGTAAAAGAAAAGATGTTTTCTTGAAGAAGAAGAAGAGAAAAGAAGAAGAAGAAGAGGAAGAGGTTTGAGTGAGAAAAGAGAGCTCTTAATCTGGCCACCCCCTTCACTAGTATTTATATTAAAAATATAAAGTGGTGTACAATGACAAATATGCCCTTATAGGGTGGCAAGCATCGAAAACTGCATAAAACACTTAAAAGGCAATCAACAAAGGGCCCAACAAGAGTGCTGTGGTCCCCACTTCCTATCTAAACAATAAACATATAAAAGATTACTGCTAAATCTGCACAAAACTGATTAAATCCTCAACAAATATATAGATGCCATGTTGAATCCAACTCATTAAATAATCAAGTTGATAAATGATATCCAAGACCAACAAATTTCTACTCAGCCATGTAAAGTTTGGTCTCTATCAAGCCATTACCACTCAGATTGAAGCATGCTTCTGAAACGTGATTCTTTTTATTAAAACCACATTTGGTTGCAAAGAAAATGGGATGCAACAAAAGAGAAATAGAAAAGTGAGAATGAATGAACTAAATTGCTTTTTGTTTTTTGGTTTTTTCTTTGTTCATAAAAACAAATGTGAATGTTGACAAAGCAACAACTGTCATCTTCATTTTCATCATTCAAGCCTTATCCCAACTATATGGAGTTGGCCAACTATCAGAAAAAGAGAAACTATATGGGGTTGGATACATGACAAGGAAACAACCAACCTTTTCTTTTGTTTGGCATTCCTAAAAGGCCTGGGTGGGAGAGTGAGGACCACATTTCTTTCCTCACACATCTCTCTTTCCCTCTATTTCAACCTTTTGGGAGAGAATAAGAGTGCAACCAAAAGAAAATTTAACCATGGAAAGTCATTTTCTTTTAGATTTTTCTTCCTATTATTCCATTTTGTTTGCAAATAAATGCAGCATAGTTGATTTGGAATATGTTGACCTAGGTCTTTAACTCAAATGTGCTTTGTTCATGGAAATTTTGGGCTTCAAGCTAACTAATGAGTAATGACCTAGACTTCTTCAGGAATAACTTTATCCTAGAGTTTAATAGGTAATGAAAATTATTCAATGATTTATAATTTCAGTGATCAACACTCATCAATGATCATCTGGTTGGTTTGGTACAAGCCCAAATTTAACTTGATATTAAATTTTATTTTTGAAGTCCAATGATCATCTGGTTGGTTTTCTAGAATTCCCACTTAGTAAATTTCCCCCTAATTTAGTTCATGCTACATCAATACAAAATGTATGAAAACTAATGTACTTTTGATCATTACAACTAACTAAAGCAGATAAAGTGCACAATTTGAAGCTTATTATAATTATTGAAATGTCTTCAATAAAGAAGTATTAATCATTCTATGAATTTTCACTTTGTATTCATCTTGCTGATAATTTACCCAATTATTGTCCAAATTTCATGATTCTGATCCCAATGGAAAGCCTAGGCTAGTATTTTACCAGTTTCCAAGAGAGGCACCTAAACATTGATGTGGGCCCCACAGCTGTGGTCCCACTCTGTCCGTAGGGTAGAATGTATTTAGTCACAGCTGTGGTTATTTTGCTATTCTGTTATTTCTAGTTTCAGTTTTATATTGTTTGTTATTTGTTAGCAGCTATGATGTAAACACCAAGGGCAGATATG